AGTACATTGGAACAGAGGACCAAATTGCGGACATTCTAACCAAGCATTTGGTTAAGGAACGATTCGAGAAGTTGCGGTCAGCCATAGGAGTGACTACAATTAAAGAGATTATTAATTGAGGGAGGGTGTTGAAATATACAATTAATATGTAGTATATGTAGTCAGCCTTGACACGTGTGTACAATATAGTAACTAGTTATGTACGAGCATAAGACTCACTCTCTTTACGGATGTAACATGACCTCGGTCGTGCATATATATAGGGCCTTTGATGTATGTAATATTCACTTGCACAGGCGTCGTTGTACAGAGCGTATACGATGTGTGTGTACCTACTGTCACAGTTTAATTGTCCAGTTGTACGTTATTATATATTATACTTATACATAATCTTATTGTCGTGTTATTACTTATTATATTAATGCTAACATCATTAGTCCGTCAAGCTTCACTTTCAACATAAAGATCTTCCATTTGAGTTAATATCAAATAAATCGATACAGTTTTTTCAAAGATTTCGTATTTCTTCGAACTTTTTACATAAGGATCCAAATTTATGGAAAATAACCACCGAATATAAAGAAGCAAAGGATATTATAGCTACATTAAAAGTTGTCAATGATAGTGCAGAAAGAGGTGTGAAATTGATGGAGGAGTTCAACGACAAATTTACGAAACAAGAGGAACAGAAACAATACGTGTTACAGGTAATTTTTTATTTTTTTTTACTCGTGGAATAATTAGGAATTTATTAAAATGTATTATTTATTATTTTAGATTGTTCAAGATTATAGGAAGCAATACCCGGGATTCAGCCGTGAAGTTTTAAAACAAACTTATAATAAAATGGGATAGTTAAAATACAATTTTATAATAACTTCTATATAATTTGCCTAATTTACATAAATTTAGTTACCTATTACAAATTACATTTTTTTCAAGAAATTAAATTTTGTTCGATTTTTAAAGAAATTTTACAATTTTTTTTGAATAAATGTAAAAAATCTATTTTGCAAAAAAAATAAAATATTTCGTACTTTACTATTTTTCTTGGAAAATAACAGACTTACGACAAATTTTGTAAATATATTTTTTATGAAGAATAATAAAATATATAATTAACCTTCTATACATTTTCCGCTAAGTACTATAGTTTTTGAGTTGAATTAAAAAAAACTATAAAACTACCCTCTATGGCAAATGTTCAACCCTCTTGAGGCACTGGAAGGGGGTGAGTCATTATAACCAAATTTAGCCTAGATAACTTACTCATTGTAATGAACAAAATGGCGGGTACCTGAGTCGAAATTTTGAAAGTTAAAAAATAAGGACCAGCCTAAGGTACATATTATATTAAATTTGAATATCATTGTATCAATATGTATTAACTAAATTTAAATGTTAGAAGGTATTCATGAAGACCATGTCCCTGCTTCCACGCACAACACACCACCAGGTACATATTATATTTAATTTGAATTTATTTTATCAATATGTATTAATTAAATTTAAATGTTAGAAGGTATTAATGAAGACCATTGAAAGGAAATTATTTGCTCTAACTCTGAATGTACGTCTTTCTAGGAAATTGGTAATTAAGTTCAGAAAATTTCCTTTGCCTATTATTTTGTTAAGTTTTACTAGAATTTTGTGCCTCCAGATGGAGTCTTAAGCTTTGGTGATATCAAGATTTTGTATACCTATAATTTGTTTTTTGTTAAATGTTTGAGTGATTTCTTCTTTAATTACAATCAAATTGTCTATCGTACCTCGGTTTTTTCTAAATCCGTTCTGATGAGGTTAAAAAAGCAGTTTTTTTCTAATAGCCAGTTAAATATCACCAAAGCTTAAGACTCCACCTGGAGGCACAAAATTCTAGTAAAACTTAACAAAATAATAGGCAAAGGAAATTTTCTGAACTTAATTACCAATTTCCTAGAAAGACGTACATTCAGAGTTAGAGCAAATAATTTCCTTTCAAAGGAGTTCATTAAAGAAAACGGTGTTCCTCAAGGATCGGCTCTCACAGTCTCCCTCTTCCTAGTCGCCATTAATGACTTAACTGAAAACTGTTTGCATTCCGTTAAATTCAATCTATATGCTGATGACTTCAATTTCTGGTGCAGAAGCAAATGTAAAAACACAATCCAAAGCCTGCTCCAAACAGCAACAACTAATTTAGAAAACTGGGCTAAAAAAACCGGGTTCCAATTCTCCCCAGAAAATCTAGCTGTACAATTTTCACAAAAAAAAGGAATATTGATGCCTTAAAAATAACAATTGATAGAACCGAAGTTGCATACAGAAAAACTGCAAAAATGCTTGGAGTCATCTTTGACGGACGTTTATCGTGGTCTCCATACATAAAGCATTTAAAAACCTCCACTTGTAACTCATTTAAAATATTAAAAATCCTCTCCCATACCAAATGGGGTGGGGAAACAAACACACTAATTAAAATCCAAAAAAAATTAATCCAGTCCAAACTTAACTACGGCTCATTACTCTATAGAACTGCATCCAAATCCCTACTAAACTGGCTAGACAGTGTTAATAACTGTGGCCTGAGACTGACATTAGGAGCTTTTCGCAGCAGCCCCGGTCTCAGTATATATAACATCGCAAAAGCGATCTTTAAACATCTTTAAAAGCACAATAAATAACTACAAAGACTTCCAGGAAGTCACCGATGGTTCAAAAACTAATGAAGGTGTAGGATTCTCGATAATATTTCCAAATAAAAAAGTATTACACAAACTACCTAATATTTGCTCCATATTCACAGCCGAAATTATTGCTATCCTCATGGCTACTGAGATTATAATCCAAGAACCCCACTCCAAATTCATCATCCTCAGCGACTTACTAAGTTCGGTAAAAAGTTTAGAAAACCAATTCAACCCCTGCGACATTGCATCTAAAATCCAGAACAATCTCAACAAAGCCTCCTTTCTGGGTAAAGAAATCATCATCATATGGATACCTGGCCACTCAGAAATAAGAGGTAATGAAATAGCAAATGAACAAGTATCCATAACCATTAACAAACCAAATGTCATATACTGACTCAAAAAACTCATAAACGAATATTCAAAAAATAAATGGCAAAAACTATGGAACTTACAAAACACTAAACAAAACGAGATAAAAAGAGACAAGCCCAAAAACTCACTCGGAAAGAGGAGACGGTTGTTAACCGACTTCGCATAGGACACACCAGAATCACTCATGGTTTCCTCATGGCCAGAGAGGATCCTCCCATTTGCCAAACCTGTGGAACTGTCAAGCACATAATAGCCGATTGTTTAATGTATAATCAAGAGCGCGCTGACCACAGGATATCATACCACCTACACACTACACTTGAACCCAATCGAGAAAATATCCTAAGATATCTAGGATATCTTGAACAAACAAAACTGTTAAAACGTATTTAAAAAAAAATGTTCTAATCCTAATTATTTAACATATATATTTTTTTTTTGTACTCAACACATATTCTAATATCGTATATCGTTTGTAAATATTTGGAATATTTGTAACTAATGGACTTTGTTATCGATGTTATTGTGATCAATAAAAAAAAAAAAAATACTGTGAAATTAAAACTATGAATCTTTATCTCTATTTAGGAGTTATTTATATCTATTTATTATTTAGTATTATGATTGTGTTGTGTGTATAGCAAGTGCCTACATAATGTTTTGTAGACCCACAAAAGAAAAGTAAATAATAATATATTTAATTTAATATATTTAGGAGAAAAATTGATGAGACATGTGATAGGTATTATGTTTATCCACGTCGTTTTAAATTGATAATTATGTTTCACAACAACACAATGAATTTACACGGTTAATTGAATAAGTATTATTATGTATGTCGGATTTGAGCTAATTAATAAGTGAATATGTATTCGTGGTCGGATATTTCAGGTACAATTAAAACCATGATTCTATATGATGAGTTGTAATTTAACTGTGAGTTATTTATATATTGTTATGATTGTGTTGTGTGTATAGCAAGTACACAATGTTTTGTAGAACCGCAAAATAAAGGTAATTTATAAAATAATAATCTAATATATGAACTCTAAGGTGGGCTAATTTCTATACCAAGTGTTGATAATTGTAAATGATGTTAGTTATTAAGTATACACAAATTAGGATATAAGAAAACAATGAATTAAGCTTTGAAGTAAAGTAACTATACAGTGGCAGATCTATGATTTTTTTATGGGGGGTGCTTAGGTTAAGGTATAATATTGTATTCTGTATACTATACCCTGATGTCATGACCTTTTTTTAGTCCTAATTGCACATAAATCACATTGTTGAATATTTAAAAGGATAAACATTAGTGACAACTTTAAAAGTACATCTAAAACAAATACCTTTATTTTAAAAAAAAATATCTTATCTGTAATAAAAAAAAATAAAACATACACATTTAAACAAAAAAATTAAATTATATCACATCCACTTATTGTATTTTTTATTTCTTAATAATTGATTGACAAAAAACAAATAAAAATGTTTTGATCATTTTGACCAATCTTCTAATTCCATCCTCCTTTTTTTTCCGAGCAAAGGTGTCAACTACTTGGTTTATATCTATCTCTTTATGAATATTTAACATTGCCAAAATATTTAGTCGTACTTCAGACATAGTGGACCGTAAATAATTTTTCATCCTACTATTTTTAAGTTGGGGAAAAATTCATTGCAGTGTTCTAATGCCTCAACTGCAGTTTGTGGATTATTTTGAATGTTTGGCCACTTATTTTTCCACAAATCTATTTCCCCTTTTAATTCTAAATCTCAACCCTCAATATCTTCCCAATAAAATTTAGCGGATTCTAATACACTTTTAGTATCATAAAAGTTAATGTTTGCGGGAATTGCTAGACCTTCTAGTGCAATAATGTTATTAAATTGTTCATTGAATCTAGAATGAAGTTCATGTATAATATGATCCAAAAATGGTACAAATATTGTAACTTAAAACCAATCCATAATCATACGAATAATTATATTATTTCTTTGAGTTTGCTGACCACGAAGTCGAGGGATTTTTATTTCTTCTCCAAACATTTGAGCTTTTCTGGCTGCATTCTCAAATAAAGAATCAAATGTATTATCAGGATTTTCCCGTATGCTATTAAAAAGAGCTATTATATTTTTAATATTAATCTTATCCATAGATAAATCTTGTTTGGAACTTTGCAATTGAATGTTTAAGGTATTCGTGTATGCAAATAAATTCGCTACTATCTCAAGAGATACTAGAAATTTACTTCTTCTTACACTAGAATTAAAATTTGTTGCCTTATAGGATGTTTCTCTATTAGAATCTTTTTCTAATTCTTCAAATGCAATTAAAATGAATTTATACAAACATTGAAACGTAATGATAGACTCATGTCTTTCTACCCAGCGAGTTGCACACAATGCTTTAAGTTCAATTTTATTTGGTTGAGATTCACTACTATCATTCGATATTACCATAATGAATGTGTTATTGCGTTTCGCAGATGAAGATAATAAAATACTGATATGGAACCTACTATTCCAAACATATTTCTTATTGCTGGTATTTCACATGCTTTTGAAATTGCTAAATTTAATCCATGGCTAAAGCAATGGGTATAAAGAGCAAATGGTTTTTATAAAAAAAAAATGCACAATATATAAAAACATTTAAGCATTATTGACCTGACAGAAAATGTTATTTGCTCTTTGGTGCTAATATCGGTTGTTTCGTCGCATAGTATTGAAAAATATTTTGATTTTTTAACATTAGTTACAATATTATTAACTAGAACTTCATGAATAACTTAAATTATTTCATTTTGCACAGTTTTGCTAATCATTATAGCATTTTTCTTTAAATTGTCTAAATGTTCATGTAAAATTTCAACTCCAGAATATAATCGAAAAGCCAATAGGCTGCGAAAAACACCTTGATCTCCAGTTACAGCAGAGTTAATTTCTAATTGTCCATCTTCATGACCTCTTAGTGGAAGGTTATTATGACCACAAAATATAATACTTTTTACTATAGGTACTAAACGTTTTTTGTTTTTATCGATAATAGCCATGGATTTTTTATTTAAAATTGTTTTAACAGATTTACTAGAACTATAGTTGTCAATGAAAGTGCTAATTTTCTCAGCAAACAACAAGTGGTATTCATTATTTCCATGTCTGTTTAATAGTTCAGTAGCCTTTTTATAGTTAACAAAAGGTGTTGTGATAAAAGTACTTAATTTCTGAGAATTAAAATACATTTCTACTTAGTTATGTACAATATAATTGTTTTCAAATCTATATTCCTAAAATTGTATTAGAAGTATTTTCATTAAGCAGATTTTAATTTTAATGTAATATACATTAGAAATTATAGCAAAGAAGAATGTTACCTGATGTGCTTTAGAAACAGTACTTGGAGCTAAGCACACACGATATTTACAAAATCCTCCATTTTGTAGTTCGCTGTAAGCTAACCAATTAAAGCGTCTAAGCCATTCAAGCTGAAAACATCTAGTTTAATTGCCTTGTTTAATAGTTGAAAAACTATACCTCTATATTTGTTGCCCATGTATTTTTAAGAATCATAAATTTCTCTTCATCTGATAATATATTCTTACCAACACCAAAGACCAATACCATTTGCATTCATATGACAGAAGCGATTTTATTTTCACAAACTAGTCCCTAATATTTTAATAGCAAAATAACAAGCAATAAGCATAATTTATCAATATGATACAACTAAAATACTACAAAAGTTAAAGTTATTACCGAAGGAGAAATATTATTAGAGTTTTTGTGTTCTGAATTTTCTGATCCTAAAGCAACTGCGAGTGCATTTTTTTTTTAAAGTAATAGAAAAAATGATTATTCATAATAATACAGTTGATTTAAAATAGTATAATCGGTATTTGGTGATAACACTAGTGATAACTACTAGATAATATTATCTACATTGTTGAAAATATCTATGCTTTAAACAGTGCTGACCGTGGACACGACCGCCACCGCTAAAAAATCGTTCGCGCAATTAGTGCTCACACGGGGTTATAAAGAGTTCGTTTGTCCGTTCCGCCTAAGAACTCAATGCGTCAGACCGATATAAGCGATCTCAAAAACCGTTCCACAAAAGCAGACCTCCAGCTGCAACCAAATGACCCACGACAAGGTACGTCAGCTGACCCGCTCCACCTCGTCAAGCCCGAACTAATAAAACCCCGATGGGGCAAATCCGACCGGAAGGGCCCAGGTGAGTGCACTACAACACTACTCCATAAGGTTAACACGGCCGCCTGCCTTACCTGCCGACACTGATTCCGAATAGGACATCGATCATGACCAGAAAAAAAACCCGCAGTTCAAAAGGAAGCAACAAAGCTCACCTACACCGAAAATCACCGAGAAGACAAAAATCTTGAAAACGACAAAAGTGCAAAGAGTGACACCACAGACACAGCTAGCGCATTATGCACTGCAGCAAAGGCAACTGAATACGCTTGCAAATTGGTCCAAGGTCTCGCCGACGAATTCTTCAACGAAGAACACATCGGTCTGTGCATGTCCAAAGTGGCGAAGGCCCTTGAACAGGTGTGCAAGGCCTTGCGAGATGACACAGCCACCAGCCTGCAGCAAAAGAAAAGAGACGCCACCACCAGCACATGCTCCTCCAATCTACCGACGGACATCAAGATTGACACTCACCCCGCAGTTCAAGCACCAAGGATAGCGACATCTTCCATAATCGCAAAAACAACCCACCAGCAATCATGGGTAAGGGCAGGGGAAAAAAGCCCCCCAAAGGAAAACTGGACAACAGGACTCCCAAGGGTAAACCGCCTGTGCAGGCGAAGGCTGCACTGCCAGTAGAGTCAGTGAAACCACTAGAAAAACATCAGGCAGAGCCTGAAGAAGAGCTCTACACACTGGTCAAGAAGGCAGCTAGGAAGCCATCCGCCCCTAGACCCCAGCCTGCTAGGAGAACCGTGCAGAGACCCGCAGCCGTTTTGATCAAGGTCGCAGCCGGCCGGACCTACGCCGACACGCTGCGCGCAGTCAGAGATACCGAGATCGACTTCGAGACCATGGGCACGTATGTAACGTCTATTAGAAAGACGATAAACGGCGACCTCTTGGTGGAACTGACCAAAGGGGCCAAGGCCACAGCGGCCACTTCGGTCATCCGTGATAAACTGGTCGAGAAGATTGCTGGTTCCGTAGTCACCAGGCTCCGACACACCGCTGAAGTGGAGATCACGGACCTCGATGAGGTAACTACCAAGGAGGAAGTACTACGCGATCCGCAAGACCATACGCGGCGATGACCTCCCCTCTGCAGATGAAATCAAGATCACCGGTCTATGGGCCACTCGGGTAGGCCGCCAAATGGCCACCACTACTGTCCCAATCACCATCAGCAGAACCCTTATAACCATCCACGTCGGCTGGACGCAGTGCCGCGTCCGCCCACGCAGACCAGAACCAGCTAGGTGCTACAGGGGTCATGGTTTCGGCCACTCGACACGCCAGTGCGCCTGCCCAGACCTCTCGACCGCCTGCAGGAGATGCGGCCTCACCGGTCACACCCAGGCCACCTTCACGGAGACCGATGATCACTGCGTGGCGTGCGACCGCATAAAGTCACCAGGCGTACCACATAAGCCCGGATTAGGGGCATGTGTGGCCCGAAGGAAAGCCATCTATGAGCTACACTCCTCCGCTCCAAGATGAATATCAACTTCCTCCAGATAAACCTTCAACGGAGCTCCACGGCTCAGAGCCTGGCATCACAGACCACCGCCGACATCGGCGCCCAGGTTCTACTGTTCTCCGAGCAAAACTGGAGTCCGGCTCGGGACGACCGATAGGTAGTCAGAACCAACGGCACCTGCGCAGTCGTCGTGACACCCATGGCCGACTTCGTAGCGGAAACCTCCGGGTCAGGCCGCGGATTCGCCTGGATGCAGACGAGAGGCATGAGGTTTTACAGCTGCTACATCTCGACAAACGACTCGGATGAAAATTTCTCAACTTTCCTTGGCGACGTCGGCTCGGTCCGCCGATCCAAGCTGTACCCTCATTCTAGGAGGCAACTTCAACGCCTGGTCACAAGAGTTGGGCTCGGCGCGGAACGATGCAAGAGGCGATCAACTGGCTGATCTGGCAGCCAGCTTGGACCTCCTCGTCGCCAACTTTGGCACAACTTCTATCTACAGGAGAGTAAACTCTGCGACCATCATAAATGTCACCTTCTACCACACCCGACCACCCTCCGCTCTTCGAGGATGGAAGGTGTTCGAGAAATTGAGTCGGCGAGCGACCACAAGTACATTCAATTCCCGCTACAACGGGTTCCTGTAACACACGATCCCCCGGAGCGAACCAGAGGGTGGTCCTACAGACGTCTGGACACGGTAGCTCTGGCCGCTTACATGGTCGCCTTCCCAACTCCTCAAATCAACGCCACTAGAACCGCGGACGAAGCTGCCGACCAGATGGTTTGCGGCTAGATTCGCGGCTGACGTTCACCAAACACATAGAGCAGGCGTCACGCAAAGCGAAGGAGTCCGCACTATCCATCGGCAGGCTGATGCCCAACCTTGGGGGACCGTGGGAGCAAAAGAGCGCTCCTAGGCACGGTGGCCATCAGCAAATTTCTCTATGCGTCCCCGACGTGGGCCGCTAAGTGCACAAAGACGGCCAAGAACCGGGCAAAAGGTGGCTATCCGAACCGTCATCGCCAGAGCGTACCGCACCATCTAAAACGAAATGTCCTCCGTTCTCGCCTCAATGGTCCCGGCCGACCTGCTGGCCAACGAGAGGTCGAGGATTCGCCGTCGACTCGACGATCCAGGCGAAATGTGCTCAACAGCAACAATCCGAGGACAGGAGAGGACCATATCCGTAACGGCCTGGCAATCTCGATGGAACCGATGCAGATTGACCATGGTGACATGGACTCACCGGCAGCTGTCCGACATCGCACGCTGGCTGGAGAAGCCTACGATGAGCCTCACATACCGGCTGACCCAGGCTCTGTCGGCGCACGGCTGTTTCCGGAGCCACCTGCTGAGGTTCAACCGGCCCGACGACAGCTACTGTATGAACCCCGACGACACGGTGGAGCATACGCTCTTCGCGTGCCCCAGGTGGGAGGACGAACGGGCCGTCCTGTCCAGGATTCTCCGACGCCCACCAGAGCTTGTGGACGTGCAGGAAATCCTGTGTGGCCCTCGGCCCGACGATCTACCCGACAAACCGACAGCCCAGTGTAGGATCGTAGAACAGGCCAACATCAATAGAAGGGAGTTCATGGTGATGGTGGAAACAATTTTGAGCACGAAAGAAGCGGACGAACTGGAGGAGCAGCTGCACGACTGATGTCAGCGCACGATGAAGAACGGCTCGCAGACACTATTTGACTTCGCAACAGCGATCGGTCGGAGGTGTCACCGACAACCGTTCTTCATCCCCCCACC